AGCCACACATATGACCTATTTGACCTTAATTGCTTCTTCAAAGACCCTATCCCCAATTATAATTCCATTCTGAAATATGAGAGGTTAGGGCTTCACCATGTAACCTTGGAGGCACCCTGTTTCATTTCTTCCTAGATTAGACTCTGACACAGGAAAGAATGTGGGTGATATTTGGGGGGAGAAAAATTAAGCAGAACCCTCATTCTTGGAAGTACCTTTTGTTATCCAGTAGTGGTGGCTTCACAGACTTCTTCATGACCTTCCTCTTTGTGTTCATGCCAGGCCACTAAAAATCACAGTGGCTTCTTGGACTTTTCCACCCACCCCTATGCTTGAGACTGAAGTCATTAGTCAATTTTTTGGCTGATTTTCTAACCACAGTCTTTCAGACTCCCAGCAGCCCCTCAACACTACCCACATAGATGTAAACACCAATTCCCATACTAAATCTCTGTTCTCCTAATAATTCTATATTAAATCCCTATTCTCCTAATAATTCTATATTAAATCTCTATTCTCCTAATAATTCTATATTAAATCTCTATTCTCCTAATAATCCTATATTAAATCTCTATTCACCTAATATTTATGGTAATGGCTGTGTTTATAGTAATATACATTCATATATATACTCCCTTGAAATATATTCCAAATCCCTTGGAATTTCTTCAGTAGCTAGAGATAATAGCAGCACTTTTTGTCATTCATTACAATCCCTTCTCATACTCTAATTTATGCTAATGAAATGAGTCCTGTGGCCCTAGAGAGCTTCAGGATAATGGCTATTTGTCAGGAATCAACTATGTGATTAAAGGGTTGGAACTTTCTCCATCCACAACCACCCCAGACCTCCAGGAAAGGTCTGCTGTTCTGCTGCACAGTGGGGGTGACAATAGTTAAAAACAATGTACAGCTTAATTCTTCTTTCATTTTCCTTTGGCACTGGGGATTGAAACCAGGGTTGTTTTTTTTTTTTATGAGCAAGGTCTCACTATGTTGCTGAGATTAGCCTCAAACTAGTGATCCTCCTACCTCAGTCTCCAAAGTAGTGGGGATTACATGCATGCACCACTGTAGCTGGCTGTATAGCACATTTCAAAATAGGTAGAAGAGAGTATCCTGAATGTTCTCACCACAAAAAAGTGATGTTTGAGGTGCTAAATATGTAGACTAGCAGATTTGATCAGAATGCATACATGTATCAAAATACCACATCATGCCCCTTAAATACATACACTTATTATGTGTCAAATAGACATAAAAATTTAAAAATAACTACTCAATTAATCATCACTTATGTATCTTATTTGGAATCCAATTAAAACAAACTAAATATTTTTTTTTATTTCCCATTTATTTATTTATTTACTTAGTACTGAGGTGTGCACCCAGAGCCTCATACATGCCCAGCAAATGCTCTACCACTGAGGTACATCCCCAGCCCTTTGGACTTACAGTTTTTGAGACAGGGTCTCACTAAGTGGCCCAAGCTGGGCTTGAACTTGCCTTCTTCCTGCCTCAGCTTCCTGAGCATCTGGGATAACAGGCGATTGCCACTGTGGCTAGTGACGCCTCACCAGTTTGTTAGTCTGGCGTATTTTCTGTTTTAAGTGACTATCAAGTCTTCAATCTTTTAACAAATAGGTATGAAGCAAATACTGCGTTACAACAGTGAGCTAGACAGGTGAGGTCTAGCTGTTCTACCTGTTCTCCAGGTTCAGGAACCCTAAAAAATGGGTACCTGTGATGTCCTGCTGCCGCACATGGTATCTTCCTTGCTGCACAGGTGGGAGAGTAGAAGTCTTGAAGTGCATGCCTAACTGTGAAGTCTTTGCAATTAGCTTAAAAACACATTTGCACCAGCTTCCTGCCTTTGTCTAAGGTGTATGCGCTCCCAACCTTGGTCAGGCTCAACTCACTGAGCCCAGGGTGTCTGTCTGTCCTGTGGCAAAGCTTGTGCAGCTGGAACATCAGTGCAGATGATCAATGACAGCCTCTGGGTCTTTGGGGCAGGAAGGCCTGAGTGTGGTACAGTGTGGCACGTTGCCAGATGATAAACTGAATCCACAGCGCAAGGCAGGGCTAATTAGCTGCAGAGGGGGCTTTGTTGATGTTTATTCAGAATGTGGCCATGACAACCAGGTAGCAAATCCTTGGCCTGATTTGAGTTTGGAGGCTCTCTTGCCATCAGCCCTGGCTGCTTTTGGAACAGGGCCACTGCTGGGTACACACAGGCACACCCCAGGGTACTTTCCATATGGGGTGTAGGTGAGACTCAGGAAGAGCAGCAAATTGGGAGGAAACCGGACAAGGAGCAGAGCGCAGTAAGGCAGATGGGTGCACAGAAACACACCTGTTCTGGGGCAAGCATGGCAGTGAAGAGCTATCAAGGTAACTAGGCTGAAACTGGAGGATGCCTCTGGGAGAGCTGTCCCAGAAGTCAAAATCTCAGGCACGTCAGCCACCTCCAACGAGCGCTCTGTCCAAGACATAGGGTGGAGAGCCTGGAAGCGCCTTTCAAGAAGTCATTTGTGGTTGTTGGAGCCTCAAAGTAGAAAGCAGGGGCCCTAAACAGAGGGGATTTACACCCCCACCTGATGCATTGGGTGACATCTGGAGACATTGTGGCATGCAGCAGGTAGAGGCAAGGATGTCTCCACACCCTTCGATACTATCACAGCCCCTCCCTCAACAGAGGACTTGGCAGCTCCAAAGTGTCATTAGTGCTGAGAGTCTGAGCCAGAGGTACAGCTCCAGAACTGTATTTCATGTGATGAGGGACTTGGGAGAGCTGTGTACCTCACCTGAGAAATGGCAATCACACCTCATGCGGCTCAACACACAACCTGACGAGGCTCATGCCCCAAATACACATGAAAATTATTTGATGACTTTGAAAAGGGCTCTTTCCTCAGGTGTTCTTAGTTTGAGACCTGTATGTTCCTAAATCACCTGGCACAGTGATCGGCAAATAGTAGGCATTTAATAAAAAGAGAAAAGCAGTGTGGTGGGGGCGACAGAGCCACTCCCCCTCTCGCCTCTTCCTCTGTGTCTAGGCTTCCCTTCTTGTTTAGACTTTCCATCAAGTTCTCTACAGGCGCAGGGTATTGATGTTAGCAGAGGCTGTCTTAGAAATACCCTTGATAGATCAGAGGTAGGACTAACCACACTCTGAGGACAGATACTACAGGTGACATAGGTCAAGGGACAGTCTACCAGCCCC